ACCTAAGAAATTGAATATTTTATTATTACTTTAAATTACTTACCATTTTAAATGAGTAATTACTTAATTACGGTAACTCCATTAATGACCCGTGTAATTCCATTTTAATTGAGTAATTACCATATGAAAAACAATTACCATTTTTGGTGGAAGACCAAATGGGCGGGAAAACAAAATTGAAAATCCATGTCTTTTTAAATAAAGTATGGATTTTATTTCCTTTTTAATAATATTAAAATAAAATTATAAAGTTTTATAACAGATTATTAATACCGTGTATTAATTTAGGAAATTTAATGCCGTGTGATAATATATAAATATACAGGCCCGCCCAATGGGGTGTGCATGAGGTTCATTTGAACAGGGCCCCTTAGTTTGGAGGGCCCATTTTTTAAATATTACAAACCCATGAGTAGATTTAATTTGTTATTTTAGCCTAATAACGTGTGAGCATTCAATGCTTCTCCATTCTGGATTCTTATTCTCCTTCCCAATCCTTCAAGCGACACGGCTATTCGGTTCCTCCTCTCTCTTTAATTATCACCTTTATTATGGCTTCCTCTCTTCTATTTTATTTTCCTCCATTCTTGTGGCAGTTGTGAACTCAAGCCATCAAAACCATCATAAGGAATTTAATTTAAGGCTTATGTTGCTTCATAATTTTGCTTCATAATCTTCTAATTTAAGGCTTATGTTGCTTCATAATTTTGCTTCATAATCTTCTATTTTATTAATTAGTGCTTTGATTTATCACAAATTTTGTTTTAACAAAAAAATTGAGGCCTAAAGTATTTAATTGCACAGGGCCATTTTGAATGATTGGACGGGCCTGTAAATATACCATATTTATATGCGATCTTACCATAATTTCGTTTTTAATAATTTCCTTAATTAAAATATCGTGTATTAATACCATATGTGATCTTACCGTATGTGGTTAAGACCATTTAAGTTTGTCATTACTAATTACCATATGGGGTTAAGAATTACCAAATTATATGTACCACGAAATGAGCAGGAAAAATTCATTGCCAATTCATGGCTTTTTAAATAATATATAGATAGAAGAATGGTTTGGCACTCTTGTTCTTTTAAGCTTAGGTCAATACTTGAGAAAACATGTTATCAATAAACGAGGAAGACGTGGCTAAGTGCTAACTATACTGAGCCGATATAGTCATTGTACGGTGTCGTTTACACCTTGAAGGTTCTTTCTCTAATTCTCTCTTGTGGGTTAGTGAATTATGTATTGTCCGTGGCAAAATTTAGCTAACCCTTAAGTTTAAACTTAGTGAATATGGCTCGAGAAAGGTCTAAATTGACGTGCAGCTTTGAGTCTTACACCTGAATTTTTTTTTCAATTTTAGAGTTTATTCGGAAAATTGAACAAAAAAGTAATACCCTGAGATAGAACTATTTGAATGAGGGCCTATTTATTTGCAAGATTGAACTGTTTCAAATTGGAATAATAAAAAAAGACCTTAAAATTGAAGATGAAAAGATGTTGTGATTCAAACAACTGAGGAAAGACAAAAGCAACATAAACTCATAAGCCCAACGAAGAAGAGATCTGAAGAAGTCACAGCATGGGAGAGAGCCACATAGAAGCCAACGCCATCGCCACTACTGTCGACAACCAAATTTAGAGATAGAGGTGGCAAATTGAGAGAGGGAGAGAGAAAGGGAGAGAGTGGAGCGGCATTAATGGGGTGGCTGGGGAAGTGAATTGATTGAAGGTATAAAAGTCATATGGCAGCTTTTATTTTGGAATCGAAAGCTAGTTTTAGAACGGAGAAAAAGAGGAAGTGTGAAGATTGTTTTATGACGGAGGGAGTATCAATTATATTTAACTAGTAGTCAAAATTTGTTAATTTTGAGTATACATTAAAGGTTTGAATTAGATAAGTACTCATGGACAGAGAGGTAGTATATATCTCTTTATTCTAAGATATTATATTCGCGGTCTTCTATACTTAATAACTATTTCATGATCAATAATTAGTTCTTTGTGGACTACTAACTACATGTAGAAAAAATTTGGAAATTTCCCCCCCAAATGTGTGATCATGAAATAGTTTTCAATTATGAGAGATCACGAACATAATATCTTGAAATAAAGGGTTATATATGGAAAAACTTTAATTATAAATAATCATTTATATATTTATTCTATTACTTTTTTTGTCCAATAAAAATATTCCATATTTTCTTTTTTATTTGTCCCAAAAAAAGTTCCAATTTCTACTCATGGAATCAAATTGTGTTTATTATAATTTCTCTCCTCGACATCAAATTCAAACACACAATTTCATTTTTTCTTAATCCTCGTATCAAGTTAAAGATAGAACTTTTTTATTAGGATGGAAGGAGTACTTATACTTTTATTACTATATAAACTACGGAGTATTTAATTTAAAACATGGCCTAGAAAAAAAATTGGCCTACAATATACTCTCTCCGTCCCGGAGTATTTTTCCACATTTGACTTTTTCAGTTAAAATTGGTAACTTTTGACCAAAAATTAAATAAAAATGATATTAGATATTGATACAAAAAATAGTTTTATTATATTTATAATATAAAATATTTTCAAGATATTATTTTATCCAATTAATATACAATATATTTTATTTAATTATAGATCAAAAATTAAATATAATTAACTGAAAAAGTTAAAAATAGATAAATACTCCACAAGGAAGATAGTATTAGGTTTCATGGGAACTAGGTCAAATTTAAATGCTGTAATAGGTAAGACCAGTGACTAAAGTCATTTTGATTTATTGTTACGCGTTCGAAATGGGTTAAATAACGTGGATGGTGATCAGGAATCAACAAGTCGTTGTAGTATAGTGGTAAGTATTCCCGCCTGTCACGCGGGTGACCCGGGTTCGATCTCCGGCAACGGCGTTTTTTTATTGTGTATGCGCTTGGTTCGAATTCCGGATTAACATGTAAAACCCGGTTTCGATCCCCGGCAATGTGCGATATAAATCCAAATGTGCCGCAAATTATATCGTACATCCGGTTGTACCTAATTTTGCTAGTTGAAGAAGGAATGAGATGGAACGGAAGCCGCCGGAATTACTACCGCTCCTCTGATTGAAGAAGGAATGAGATGCAACAGCGTTTTTTTATTGTGTATGCGCTTGGTTCGAATTCCGGATTAACATGTAAAACCCAGGTTCGATCCCCGGCAATGTGCGATATAAACCCAAATGTGCCGCAAATTATATCGTACATCCGGTTGTACCTAATTTTGCTAATTGAAGAAGGAATGAGATGGGACGGAAGCCGCCGGAATTACTACCGCTCCTCTAATTGAAGAAGGAATGAGATGCAACAGCGTTTTTTTATTGTGTATGCGCTTGGTTCGAATTCCGGATTAACATGTAAAACCCGGGTTCGATCCCCGGCAATGTGCGATATAAACCCAAATGTGCTGCAAATTATATCGTACATCCGGTTGTACCTAATTTTGCTAATTGAAAAAGGAATGAGATGGGACGGAAGCCGCCGGAATTACTACCGCTCCTCTATTTACCGGGTCGGGCCACCGGAGAAGAAAGACGGAAGGTGGCGGCAGTGATGACGAGGAGCAGCGAAGACGAAAGACGATGGAGCAGCGAAGATGACGAAGAGCGATGGTGGCGAAAATCCGGTGAAAACGATGGAGAAGGAAGGTGGCGGCGGCGTTACAACGGGTCGGGTCGCGTAGATCGAAAGAAAGCCGCTGTAAATGGAGGAGAGGCTGGGATGAAACCCTAGTTGCAGAGAAAAAGGTTATTCATGGTATGTGTTTTATTTTATTTTAGAATGAGCATTATATTATTTAAGAATGAGTATTATTTTTATTCAGAATGAACACTACGTTATTTATGAATAAATATTATAACTGTATTGAATAAATGTGTGAATATGAACACTACATTATTTTAGAATGAGTACTACGTTATTTTAGAATAAGTACCACATTTTCAAAATGAATAGTTATATTTGTGCGAGAATGAGTACTACTTTACTTCACAATGAGTAGTACCCGGATGTACCTATCTCTATGTACATCCGATTGTACTTTATACCTTCTCCAAATGTGCAGGTGACTTTGTGCATATTTTTACTTCAAACCAAATCAGGATTTTATCTATTACTCCGTATAAGCTTCTTTTTTTTTTGTAAGAAAATGTCTTTCTTAAATAAACATTTGTTTTTTTAATAAAAAAATTTTTAAAAATAAGATTCTTTATGTAAGAAAATCCACAAAATTAATATGTACCTAAAGTGCACCATAGAAACAATATACTCCGTAAGAAAAGAGTAGAGCAACTACATTTAGGGATTACAAGTAGGCCTAACAAAAAAATTTAGGGCAGTTTTGGAGATATGATAAGAAATGCACTTGCGAGCTTAAAAAAATGTGAGAAAATCTATATTTCACACGTCGACCTTCTGACTACGAAAGAACAACCCTAAGTTAGATATAAGTTCAATTCAATTAAATTTAGAGCGTGTTTGTAAGCGATTAACTTGTGGGTAAAGTGGTTTTCGCAAAAGCTAAAAGCGGAAGCACTATATATCTGCTTCTCCAAAGTAGTGTTCTATGTATAAAATGATGGTAAAGAAAAGCAGAAGTTGGTATGCCAAATAGAATAAAATAATTATCATTTAAAGCGGAAGTTAAATTCTACTAAAAAGCAATGCAATGCCAAACACCCTCTTAATTCATCAGTATCTATACGTCCGAATTGATTTAGTTCAGTTCGGATAAGCTCTACCGAGTACCCCAAATCAGCTATTAAGATTATTATAATCTACCCTAAAAAACTACTGTAACAAATACTAAGAGCTTTTTAAAGTAATAATAAAAGAAGTCTGTTTAAATGTTATGTACACAAATCCTAGCACTCCCTATACAGCAAATGAACTAACTATACGTCTATACCATCTCCCTCCACACATATTGAGAAAATCTCTTAAAATCCCATCAAAAGAAAGCTAAGAGGCAAGAAGATCTCATCTCCCTCAGCTCACATTATATGGCAATTGGGTCTGGAGTTTTGATGAATACACAAATGTGGAGAAAGTATTCTGGGTTCACCAAGTTTTTCACCACCCAAGCAAAAGGGATCGCCAGCTTCGGTTCTATTCCCTGTATCCGAACAAGTTTGATTTCTGCATTTCTATCTGATGAATCTCCTCCTCTGGTTTCCTTGGCGCTTGCCTCTTGTGAAGTAGATCTTTTGCCCTCGTCTTCTTCCACTCCGCAGGTCATGTCATCTTCGGGGGTAGAATTGTCCACAAAAAACTCGGGAAGTAGCATTCTTAGTGCATCCCCCAATGTGAAGAACTTGCCTGCAGGGACACACGAGTACATTCCGAACATTATGCAATTACGAAAACACCATTTGTGGCGCACAAGGCCCACGTTTGCAAATTGAAAACGCATCATGGATGGTTGACTTGTAACACAAAATTGAAACATTCTCTCCATATGTGGGACTGTGGGAGTACAGCCATTTCCACGGGGTCTGTATGGATGAAGGTTTTTGGAGGGGGATGCTTGGCAGGGTTAGTCTATATCTTGATATATACTCCATAGAAAGCTTCTAAAAAGAAAGGAAATGAGAATTAAAATTCTCCACGGTTGCATATTATGTTAATCTTTCATTTTTACAAAACCTTTAAGATGTATCAAGATATAAACTAACCCTTCCACAACTCTCCATCAAAACAAAATCTTAGGCCCCGTTTGGTACACGGAATTCAAACTATGGAATTGGAACTGAGGACTTCAATTCCAATTTTGGTGTTTGGTAGCACAAAAATTATGTGAATTTGGAATTGGTAGTGGAAAAAATGAATTGGAATTGATGAATTCAATTCTATGGAATTGAATCCCATGGAATTTCAATTCCAATTCAATTCCAATTCCATCAATTCCGTATACCAAACGGACCCTTAGAGAAATTGTCACTTTGAACAATTTTTGCTGGAGGAATGGTTCTCCCAAATATGGTGCATATGCTGGAGAGCCACCACTCTAACAACAACAAACCCAGTATAATTCCAAAATTCAAACTCTGTTTGGGTCTGGGGCCTGGGCTCAAGATTTGCGACCNAGAAACAAGGAGTCATCACTCAATTATAGAAATTGTCACTTTGTGCAATTGCTCATTAAGAAATCAACTTTTACCAGCTAAATCAGTAAGTTTAATGTGTACCCTCATGATTGAACATGGCAATACTTATCAAGCACAATTACCAAATTTCATGTGTACTAACCATCTTCACAAATCTCAACAGGCCGGTTGATGTAAGAGATCTTGTCCCAACTCTCAACCACAGGTGCATAGCCTTCACAATCAAAATCCTCACTCAAGCTCCGAACATACAAACGTACCGGGATTCTTCCTGACAAGCACAGATCAGAAAACAATTAAACATGCAGCCCTGCCGAAGCAAAAATCTTAACTTTTTGATACTTTTAAGTAGAGACTAGGGAAAAGGAAATAAAAAGATATCGAGAGAGCAAATATTATGTACTCAATCCTTTCACAACATTGAAACATTATTTAAAAAGTAAAGATCTCCATACTAAATAAAAAAATTCAAATCTCATTATTAAATAAACAATTATGAATATTTACAATCATTTCAATATTCATTGAATATATAAGAATGAATTAATGATTAGATCTCTTCTTTTTTCAACATTAATGATACAGTCTAGATTTAAACCATATTCTCCTTTTCTAGATAAAACACAACACAGTGGATAAAGGGGAAAAAATCACAACAGCTAAAATAGGGTGACAAAAGAAGAATATTACGGAGTAAAATTCAATCATTCGAACATATAATCTTGTAAATCTCTCACCTGGTTTTACTGCTCCTTCCGGAGCTTCTCCTTCATTTTTACTACTTTGCCTACACTTGTAAGAATCCAACTTCATTGAAAAATCATCTCCGTGCATACCCAGCTTAAGCTTAGATGAAACTCGGAGAAAAGCTTCCAAATTACCTATAGCAGTTGTACTTTGCAGTTAAATTGATGCCTATCGACATAGAGCGCTCAACCTTTGAATAAACAAAAATTGGTTTCACAATCAATTTTATAAATAGATCTAGGAACAGTATAGAATGCAAGTTTCTAGAATATATTGTACACCTAATGCTCAAAATCTCAAATGTTTAAACATCACATACATAAGAAGAGTACAGAACTAAAACTAACTCCACATTTTTTGAAACTATACTTCACAGAAATTGCATGTTATCACATAGACCAATTGAAATGATTGAAGAGACAGAGGCTAGAAGTAAGATGCATTATTTTAAATAAATATACATACTGTTTGAAACAGAGCGCCAAAGTTCTGATTGATCACTTTGAGACATATTCATGATGTTTTTGCAGTTGCCATTAATGATGTATGCTGCCTGCATAGTGAATTAAAAGACTAAAGGGAAGAACAGATAAAACCCCAAATGTTTCAAACCAGCAGTAATCGACATTGAGTAACAGGTGACCAATATACAATGATAGGAAGCATATCATGTCCAGAAGAAGAGAAGCAATGCCAGCCCGCTTAGATTTAACATGTAAGCACTGACGCAACAAAACTAATGGTACATCCCCTTCAGATCATTTTGCCAGAACAGATTAAACATGGATGATGGATCTCAACTGTCTAGAGTCTAGACTTCCCTTACCTTTCACAAAGAATCAGTTACTGATGTCATGGTACGGATATGGATTACTGCATGTAACTAATGAATGCTGTGTAATACATTAACTTTATACATTGCCCTCTTAAACTTAATCTATTCAGCTCTACATGTCTACTACGTGATTCTATTAATCTATTGGTGAAAAATTGTTCTAAAGAAGGAAATTTTGAAAGAATACAGTAAAACTGTATTCTAAGGAAACTACTCTGCCAGAAGGGAAATAAGTCAAATAACAAGTCATTTCAGGGAAGTAGCCAGGAATTCATGATTTTGTTCTCCAGATGTAAGAAAATTGTCATACAGCATCACATCTATAAAAAATGACAGGTTGACAACAGAAAAATTGCAGCTATACTATCTATTTACAGAGAAATACATATGAAAATTAGCCCCCCGAAATATGAAGGTACTTATATACATGAAATCTACAGAGTATTCATTAACTTGCTACCCCGTGGTGAAAGTTTGAGAACATATCAGACCTATTCAAGAAGGCTCATAAATATCAGACCATAAAGAAATTTAAGATACAAATGAAACTATGCCTAACCTCCTTTAAAGAATTTATAAAACTCCATTTCACAGTGTCTTCGGCTTCACATGGAGTTAAAATGCTTCCAGGGTATCCTCTGAAATGTACCTTCACAAATTTTTGAAAGATTGTTTGTCAGTTTAGAAACATTGAAAATGAGTGTGGAGAAAATAAAATCAAATGCAAATAAACAAAAAATAAAATTTAAACAAATCAATTCAAAATAAAAAATGCTCTTATGTTTAAGGAGACCACATGAAAACAACTACAACTCTACAAGTGGTGAATGTCAAAGTAATTGTGAGCCACTCAGAATAGAGTTGAAGAATACTCAGATCTGATTCAGATATCTTCGTGTGAAGCCCAAAAATGATAAAGAGAAACAAGTCAAGTGAAATCCAATAATCTTAATGTATCGAGTGGCTAATGAGCCTTATCAAACTTTTAATTTTTATATATATTACAGATATAAGTCCATAACTTCATCCAGGTATGTTTATATATTTACAAAGTCCTTCCAATGTATAATATATTAATGTAAAACTCTAGAGACCAAAATTTGAAGAATAAGAGGCAGAGTCAAGACTTTCCCCGAATGTGAAGAACGAGATCCGATAAGAAACATACAAAGATATATACTCCCTGTATCCCAAATCAATGTGCCAAGTTTGACTGGCAAATTTTGTATTAAGGGTCCATTTGGAATGAAGGAAAACGGCTTCCAAAAATGAGTTCTGAAAAATGATTTCTGGAATATAAATTTACTTTCTAGTGCTTGGCAGAAAGTTTGGAAAATGAAAAAAAAAACTTGTTTTATTGTTATAACATATTTAAAGGTGATGAGTAAGGATCTAAGAAGTTGGAGAACGGCGGAAAATGTCTTCCACCAAACAATGAAAATCATTTTCCTCCTCCAAATAAGGGTTATCTTCCATTAACTTCAGAAATCATTTATATTGACCCCTATTTTCCGAAACCAAATACCAAAAAATAGGAAAATGACTTCCCGATGTCATTTCCCCCCTTTCCAAACAGACACTATATCGAAAACTGTGTCTGTGTGGATGAGATTTGTACAAAGGGGAGAGAAACATTAAGCAACACACGTTTCCATTTATGCCAAATTGGAACGGATGAAAAAGAAAAACACGCAAGATAAATTGGAACAGAGGATGTGTGTGTGTGTGTGTGTGTGTGTGTGTGTGTGTGGATGTGTGAACAAATGAGAATGACCGCTTATTTGAAAATTTGGGATCAATATGGTCCTTTGGAATAAAGATCTTAGGGCTCTGAAACACTAAAAATTAAGGGATGACTAAAACACATGGTGGCAAACTATTAAATAAACAAAACCTTTCTATGAAAGTGCACTACCCAAAACATAAAAGTACATTGCAACAACAACAACCCAATATTGTCCGACGAATGGGGTCTGGAGAGGGTAGATGTACACAAACATTACCCCTACCTAGAGAATGTGGATGAGTTGGTTCTGAAAGACCCCGGCTCTAGCAACAAAGTACATTGCAATGAACTATGATTGCTAATCTTGCATTCATACATGAGGATTCATGTGCGTGCAAACAAGGTCTTCTAGGGATAAAGTATGTATATATAGAATTATAGATAATACTTCATCCATAAATAAACCACACACTTAATTTTTACGTCTTTTACTAAAATCATCATCAATTTCTTTTTAATGATAGCAATATGTGATACCCATTATTTCTTTCTCTTTTAAACAAATTTCAAATGAGGCACTAATATAGGGACAAAGGGAGTACCTTTTTCTTACTCCGAAAAATATTGTATCTTTGTATGTTTTTAAAGGTATAATAGTCTTTAATGAGCCCGAGAAGGTTCATCCAAACAACTTGTTAGCGATTCGCCTAGGTTAACCTAGGTTGGCTAGTTTTATTGAATCAAGACCCAAGCTCATCATGTTAACTTAAGTTCATCCCGAAGCAAAGGGATCATGAAGGTTTTCGAATGATAGAGTGGATGCAAGTACGTAACCCCCGGTTGAATCCCAATAATTCACGCACGGACACACAATCAAGTAACGTCAACACGTTACTTCTTGAACTAAAATCATTGTCTACATTTCAAGCAGCTGGCTTAAATAAAGAAAGTGCTAAAGATTCACAACAGATTAATCTGCATAGATTGAATGATGTACACATTGATTACCAGTGTGCCACATAAGGTAATATACTTTTTAAATGATATGAACCGAGTTCGATCGGCTCAGCCAAATGTGTTAAACCTATGTCCCAAATGGAACCACAAAGAAATAACAACTCGATGCCAGCTGCACAGTATGTTACCAAACCCAGTCAAATTATGAAGGACGTCCAGTCCACCGTCGCCTAAGCTGCTAAGGTCCATCTGAATTTGAATACTCATGAAGCAGAGAAGAGGAACCCAATGAATTAACACTAGTAGAATTATCCACTTTTAAATGAAAGGGGGTTATATTCTTAGAGGTCATCTGCCATAGCTCACCATCAAGCATCAATAAAAAAAAATTAAAAAAAAAACAATCAGACCCATCCGACTACAATTTGAGAGATTGATTCCAGATATTAACAATATTTACACCGGGTACAATTACTTATGATGCAAATCCCAGAAGCCTTCATACAAATATTTAACACACATTAGTTGTTTCGTTTACAACATCCAATGATAATGGAAGACCTTCCCACCCTTCCTGCTTTCACATTCAATAACCTTATTTAATGTGCATAAATTACATTTCCTTCTACAAGGATCACTGTTGGTTGTGTTAAGCCAATATCTATTAACACCAATCATATACTCCCTCCATTTCTTAAAATCATTCCTCTTTCATTTTTTTGTTTCCCCTAAAACACTTCCACTTTCTATTAAAAAACCACTTTTACCCCTACTTTTTCTTACCCAATCTATCACATCATACTTTTTCACTAATAATCTATCCATCACATCTTACTTTTACCATCACATAAAGGGCAAAATTGGAAAGTCAACTCCAAATAATCATTTCTTATTTTTGCCCCAAGTCAAAACAGGAAATGTTTATCGAAACGGAAGAAGTATATTGTTCTCTATGATTTTCTATGTACAACCTAAATTAAAAATTCCCAGTCAAGCCATCAAAATGTGGATTCGATGTCTCAAACTCTAAATAGTATCTTATCATGAAGTATAGTAGTTTATCGTATCTTCGTGAAATATACTACATAATAAGTACAATAATTATAATAGTTACAAAATAGTAGAAATAAACTTCATGAATGCACACACATCACTCTCTATGTGTAGCTAAACTTACCGTTAGATTCCATGGTCTTTCTGGTTCTGCACAGAGAAGATCAAAGAGTACCCCAATAGGTATATACCTGCACAGATAACACAAATACCAATTACGAAAACCCACCCAACAGATAGCTAATCTAATATGGTTTGTTTAATAAGGTGGTGGTTGAGGCCAAGGGGAAGATGAGCATTCTCATGTATACTCAAATCTAACCACCAATTCGTATATATGATGTGTTCATCTAAACATGGATAAAGTTGTGGTTTGAAAGAAAATAAATTTAGGGGAAAATATATGTGGATCATGACAAAATTGTAAAAAATAATGTGAAGTATTTATCACACTTAAACAATTTTAAGTCTCATGTAGTCATGTCACTTTAGCTAAATTCAAATATTCATGGATGGAGTTTTTTAAAATTCTCCGAGTTATTGCAGTTGTTCAATTAAATGAATGTGCCTACTTAGGAAACTCACTTTTCATTCATAAAAATAGGAAATAGATATAGCTCTATAGTCTCTATGCAAAGACATCAAGAACTATTTAAGGAGCATTCTCAATATGCAGCCAACAATTCGTGCAATGGATATGGTGATCTAAACATTGATAAAAAAGTGGTTGTAATCAAAATAACTTCTTTAGAAAATATTAATAGATTGAAGCAAATGCTAAATATTGTTTACCATTTCCCTTAGGGCCCCATTTGGTACACGGAATTCAAATTATGGAATTGGAATTGAGGACTTCAATTCCAATTCTGGTGTTTGGTAGCACAAAAATTATGTGAATTTGAAATTGGTAGTGCAAAAAATGAATTGGAATTTGATGAATACAATTCTATGGAATTTCAATTCCAATTCAATTCCAATTCCATCAATTCCGTATACCAAACGGACCCTAAATAATTTTGGATGTGTCATGTCACTTCACAAAATCTAGATATTCGTTAAATGAGTTTGTTAACTTTGTTTTATTCAAGTTCTTGCAGTTGTTCAATCAAATAAATGTGCCTAAACAGGAACCTCAGTTTTTATTCAGAAAATATGAAATAGATATAGTAGCTTCATGTAAAGATACAATACCATTTCAGAGGAAGTCCCTTGTACTCAAACCAAACAGTGTCCACACCTGGGGGTAGTGCACCACTGAAGAAAGGTTTAACTTGTGAAGCTAATAGAGGTAGATACCCTAACCGAGGAGCTAGAATCTGACTCAGAAAAAAATACAGAAGAAAACAAAACTGAATATATGTACGGATTACTTCAGTTTCAGCTTAATCAGAGAATGTGCAACGTGAGAGATGCTAAAATCATTATTGATTGTACGGCCAATTTAAGAAGACACTGCAATATATGATCCATATTGGCCACAACAAGCATGAAGAGTAGAATTGGCAATGTTGGATACTTAAACCCAAAAAAAAAAACCAAAAGAAAGTGGAATGGTTATATTAGGGCAAGAAAAGCTTGAAAGCAGTACATTTTAAATCCNGGCAGAGTGGTGACTTCGGATTCGTGAAGATGAATCTGCAGTGGAATTGCTCCTCCCCAAACATACTTTTGTGCTTCTGTGCCTATACAAATTTCCATAGCTCAAACAGAGACAAAATGTGGGGGCAGAGCGCGCTAGAGAGAAAAAATGGAGTTTAGTGTTTACCCAATAATTATACACGGCACAATCTCTACCACACAAAACTATTCTTGGTACTCTTATTTTGAGAAAACTAAATATTGGATACCTTATATTTTTATAATATACTTTAAATTGTCTTCTATTTTGATAAATTAACTATCGAGTATCTTATATTTTTAAAATATACATCAAGTATATCTAAATATACATCAATTTACTCGTGAGGGACATTCCGTCTCACCCTCCATCAAAGCTAGTTACGTCATTAATTTTTAAGAAATAAGGTTTGGAAATCCAAAAATAATCTTAGTTCTTACGGAGTATATTTTAAAGATATAATCTATCCAGTTTAATTGAAGCTTTCGAATGAAACGGAATGTCCATCACGGGTATGTTAACACTACAAAATTTCGCTAAATCTGCGACGGAGCATTTCTGTCACAAAGCCTCAATTTTGGTCCCAGAATTAGAAATTGTGACGGGATAAATCCATCGCAAAAAACTTGTCGTATTTCCAAAATAGAGGGTACCCAGGCTTGCGACGGAATAAATCCTCTATTTCCAAATTGTGACAGGCTTACGACGGAATAAATCCCTCTATTATAATATACATTTGGAGTTACTCAGAAGTATATATTTTAAAAATGTGAGTTACCCAATAATTAATTTCTCAAAATAGAGGGTACCCCGGAGTATATTTTAAAAATATGAGGTACCCGTCTGTTAGTTTCTCAAAATATGGGGGTACCCATGCACAGTTTTCTGCATTCTCCTGAATAAAAAGATTAGATAATAAATAAAAATAAATGGTGAAGATGTTGGCATACTTCTAACATGGCTTCTAGGGATGGGATTGATATAAATATGAATTAATATATTTGTACACCAAAATTTATACCTCATTTTGTACCTCAAAGGCATGTACCAACATTTTGTACAAGTGTGATAAGTGTTATGGTTTACACTGATACAAAATGTCAGTGTAATTTTTTTTGAACTATCATTTTGTGTCAGTGTAAATCATAAAACTGCCAATGTATCCCTTTGAGGTACACTTTTTGGAGTGCCCGCAGCATGATTGTGTAAAATATACTCATATCTTATCCAATTAGGCCACGTTCTCTTCGCCTGATTTGATTGGTTCTGATCAGAACTGATTTGGATCCAGTTATATTTAAAACTATTTGACTATTTCTAATCTGATCTGATCTGATTCCAATAAGAATAAATTAAAAAAATAGTTGGAGAGAACATGGCCTTAATCATCTCATTTAAAAAAATTGAAAAGCAAAAAGTGAGTACTTGAAATTCAATCAGAGTAAATAACAAGATTGTGGAACATACTCCGTATATGTTTTACTTTAATAGAAAATTAAAGATGAAACATTTATTTTGAAATAGACTAATATTAATGTAGAAAAGGGAAAATGCACCCCATATTTAACCGTCCATTGAAATAAAAATGGGAACGAAGATAGCTTGTCAAATTAAATGGAGTAAACTGAGCTTTAATCACAGTTTGACCGATAAAGGACAAAGCGTGCCAGCCTCAAATACTTTGTGTTATATGTTGTGAATTGTGATGATCGTGCTTGTGATCAACGTCTTCGAGTTGGATGATGTTGTACACTCAAAAAGTAGCCAAAGGCAAAACACACATGAATGAAGCAAAAAACTACTCCTCCACTTAATAGCAATTGACGGTAAAACGCTTGGTGCACCAATGCTCCCACCCCAAGAAACGCAAATCCTAGAAAAAAACAGATCCTGCATTACCAAACAATGAAACAAATGCATTATTGCACAATTGGGTTAAATAAACATGACGTGACAAACTATGTATAAGTAGCATATAAGATTATAAGTGCACATATTGTACTATGGGATGTGTTAGGATTTGATTAAGTATTCAAAATGAAAAAAATGCAAAAAAGAGAAGAAAAAAGCACTCGATAGCGAGCCAAGAAAGGATTTAAAGGAAGATGCACGGAATGTGTTGATAATCCTAAGATGCATGCATGTGTAGAACTTTGGATTGATGGAAATGAAGTTAGTTTTCTCGTTTTTGGATTTTTTGTTGGGTTGTTGGCTAATGGCATGTCTTTCACGATTTCTTTTGGCTTTAAAAGTTAAGGTTTTCTTAGTGCTTAAGTGTGTGTTTTTCAACACACTAAGGTAGAGACAGAAACAAGGAAGAGAGTTCTACACAAGAATGGCACCAAAAAGTCCAAAGGGTCTTGGTGAGTGTGTGTTATGGATCACGGGCAGCCAAAAATTGTCCCTGCATTTTTTCGGTCCCTTTGAAGTTCTTGAGCATATTGGACCGGTGGCATAACGCCTCAAGTTACCGGAAACGTCTCGTATTCACCTCGTATTTCACGTCTCCCTTCTACAGCCGGTTAAGGGCACAAGTGCGTCACTGCCCCCTTTGCCTCTTCCTCCGGATCTACTTGAGGGTCTCGTGCCATCCCTTCCCGTTCAGATTCACACGAATCGTAAGGTCTTGCACAATGGGTCGTCGGAGGAACAATTCTTGGTGCGTTGGAGTGATGGGTCGTTGGAAGACGCGTCTTGGGAGCCGGCTGAGTCCATTTGACGTAATTTCTCGGACTTACACCTTGAGTACAAGGTGGTTCCTAAAGCGTGGGAGAGTGTTATGGATCACGGGCAGCCTAGTTTGATCAGGACGAAGTGTATGCTGAGGTGGCAACAGGAGTTTGTTATGCCATAGGCTCCGTTCCATTCAACTTATTTTTTTTGATCTGATCTGATTTTAATAAGTTCTGATATGAGTGGATCTGATCTGATCTCATCGGATTTGATCTGATCTGATTGGATCTGATCTGATCTGATTGGATCTGATCTGATTTGGTCTGATCTGATCTGATTAATTATGATTTAATTTAAAATTTCAAATCAATAATTTGATTTGACTTTATAATAACGTTTGAAAATTGTAATGATAATTCATATTATAATATAATCAATATTTTTTATTTAATGATTATTTTTTAATAAAATAAAATTAGTTATTTCATATATTAGAATAATCATTCATATAATAATGTAATAATATTTTTTATTTTATGATTATTTTTGTGAAATTAGAATATTAATTTAATATTTTAATAAGTGCTTCATATATACATTAGAATAAATATTTAATTTAGATATACATTTAAAAGTAATTAAATTTAGATAATCAATATATAGAAGAGATAGTATTTTTATTAAAATATATCATCTTTATAAAAGATCAAAACTTTAGAAACTCAAATTACAAGTAGCAATAAAAATATATTTTAAAAGTAGAATTAGATTGACATTGACAATGTATTTTAAAACTAATTTTTCCGACGTCTAATAATTAAGGATTACTTTCTCAGTTTTCTATTTAACCTATTTCTAAAGTTTATTCTTTTTCATTTTTAAGAACAACAACAACAACAACAATGATAATAATAATAATAATAATAATAATAATAATAATAATAATAATAATAATAATAATAATAATAATAATAATAATAATAATAATAATAATTCTTGATGGGATCTGATTTTAATAAGTCCTGATATGATCTGATCTGATCTGACTGGATTTGATCTGATCTGATCACATGATTGGATCTGATCTGATCTTATTTGATCTGATTGGATCTGATCTGATCTGATTCGATCTCATCTGATCTGATCTGATTTTAATAAGAATAAAAAGAATAAGAAAAAATAAGTTGAATGGAACGAGGCCATAGTCTACCTTCAGTATTATTAATATTATTATTATTGGATATAATCTAGATTTTCTTAGCTGGGCGAATTATAAGCTCTTTCGATGCTTTCTTTACGGTTCTTTACCATATCACCTTTCTTGAACTCTCAGAGTAGAAAACATAGTTTTTAGGAATGACTTTATGTATAAATACGGAGCCAAATAGCTCCGGTGCCCCCTGTGGTTTGGAAAATTGGCACCAATACCCCCTCTATTTTCAAAACGTATTTCTAAAGTCCCCGTGGTTTCAAAATGTTGCACCCACACTCCCTCTATCATTTTCAGGCCATTTTCCGGCGAAAAGGGGGTATTGGCGCATAATTTCTTAATTATAGGGGGCATTCGTGCTTATTTCTTATTTTAGTTTATTATTTGTGTTTTCCCTTTTTTAAATATTTTGTATCTCTTTTTCCTTTTCCTAGATTTTTTAAAAAAATATATTTTCAATTTTTATAACGTTTTAAAAATTTTAAAATTCTTTGTGTTTGAAATAAAAATAAAAATAAAAAAATTAACATACATTACATCTATCTCAAACTAAACATTTTCACTTTTTTGTTTTTTAGAATAATTTTTTGGAAAGTTCAAAAAAACCCAGAATAAAAAAATAAAAATACGGAAAAAACGAAATGAAAAAAATTAAAATACACAAAAAAAAGTCTCATACAAAAAAAATTTGGACGCGCCTAAAAAAGTCCGTAGAATTTAGATGTCTAAAAAAGATATTTATTTTAATTTTTGTATTATTTTTTTCTTATTTTATTCATCATTTTTTCGAAGTTCTCAAAAAAAATCTTTTTTCATTATATTTCAAACGTACATATGAATTATATTTTATTTTTTCAAACAAAAATAACTTTAAATTTTAAGATAAGCCGGCCTATATATGCTTGATAATGATAAGAAAATATCTCTCCTTTCTCTTCCGCCTCCCTCCAGCCGTGCGCCATATTGCCGCGGTTTCCTCTCCCTCTTCTCTTCACGTTCTTCTTTTTCTGAGCAAGGAGACGCTTGGTAATCCGATACTTAACGTATTAGTGTGGTGAGTATATCTTTGTCTCTATAGAAAATTTTATCTTTCTTAATAATTATAAATGGTCACCGTAAAAAATCATCTGCTCAATTGTAAAACATTCCTCCGTATTTCAAGAGAAGAAAATGAATGTACCATGTGAAAGCAAGAAGTATACTTGGGCATTTCTGGGTGGTGTTCTGATTCGCGCGTTCATCTGCACACATAGACACAAGGGCAAACAAATGAGCCATTGAAAGGCAGCCCACTGCGATCCCTAGTTGGATGTTGAGATTAAGGTTCTGTAAAAAAAGATTTTTTTTTAAAAAAAAAAATTAATATTATTCCCCAAAACTTTTAATATACACGACTCTGAAAATAAGCTTCAATATAATTATTTGTGAATATTATTTAATTTACCTGCTGGTGATGTGTTGCTACCGAAATCCCAAGCCCTACTGCTATAGAATCTAGCATCAAAACAGATGCTGCTAATCCCAAATAAGCGTTCGCGCTGCTCATCATTGGGATCCAATAAGTTATGAATGCATACAAACACCTACGTGTGTATATATATATATATATATATATATATATATATATATATATATATATATATAATATCGACACCAGTCATACATTTTTTAAAAAGTTTTAAAAAATATAAAAATGTTTGTGATTGAAATAAAAAATTTAACATATACTTCATTGGTCAAATTAAAAATTTTCTTTTTTAGTCTAATTTTTTTTTATTTTTTTTGAATATGTCGGGGCCAAAACAATACTGAGTATCATCTTTTTAATATATTAGTTAATTATATATTAGTAACATTTTTTGGGCCAATGCATAAAAGATTTCCTTAATGACTTAATTTTCACTATTCTATACAATTATTTTTTATATACATTTCTTTTTCTTTATTTTATTTTCTATTATTTTTTATTTTATTCAATTTTGATTAAAATAAAAGAAACAATATAAAATTAATAAACAGAAAATGAGAAATGAATTTAAGTAAAAAAGAGGATATATTTTATTGATTTTTGTATCATGAAAATGAACCAATAAAGACATCTTTTGGACAACAATAAAAATGTTTAATTTGAGACAAATGAAGTGTACGTTAATTTTTGTTATTTAATTGGTTTTTATTGCAAACACAGTAAAATTGATTATTAAAATATATTATAAAAAAATTAGAAAAGAAATTAAAAAACATTTATGAAAAAAAATAGAAAAAAAACAATAAAGAAAAGATGGGGCCTTTGTGCCAATTTTCAAATTCATAGGGGCAGCGGAGTTATTCTCATAATATTTGAATGATATTTTAGCCCAGAGGGACATTGACGTAGTAATATCAGAACTATAAGGGGTAACGACGTAAATTTTAAAACTACTCCCTCCGTTCCTTTAAACCCTTTCCATTTTGACTTTGGACCAAAATGAGAAAAGGGTAACGTTGGTTGACTTTCTAATTTTGCCCTTGATGTGATAGGTAAACGTAAGATGTGATAGTTTGGTTATTAGTGAAAAAATATGATGTGACAGATAGGATATGAAAAGATAGGAGTAAAAGTGGTTTTTTAATAGAAAGTAGAAGTGTTTTAGGGAATTGGAAAAAAATGAAAGAGGAATGGTTTTACAAAGATTCTTTTTTGGGATATGCTAGGGTACACCTTTGGTGTACCCCAAATGTACACCACTTGCCTCTACACCATTCATTTTATTTTCTTTTTATTTTTTACTTTTTTTTGAAATTTTCTTGCCTTTTTTGTGTGGTGATGAAGGGGGTGGGGAATGTTTGGATTACACTTTTGGTGTATCCCTAGCATTTTCCTTCTTCTTTTTTAAGGTAATTACAAAGGTAAAAGGTTCATCACTCTACATGGTGTTAATCTTTTTCAAATACTCAAAGTCAAACGCTAGTGCTTGAAACAAGACATTCAACATTAGCCCGAGGAAAGCATCGTACCATTTCCATATGACATGATTATTTAACAACTTTAGCCTTTCATGAGTTTCATCTTTTACTCTCTCCCTCCGAGTCCCTCGGTTCCTCTTAATGAGTTTGTCCAATTTAGGGGCTGTTTGTTTCAGTCTCTTAATGGTTCAGATGTCTGAATGATTCAGTACTTAATGGTTCAGACTGTTTGTTTCAGCCTCTTAATGGTTCAGATGTCTGAATGGTTAAGAGATTTGCCTCTGAATGATTAAGTATTATACAGAGTTTGAATGGTTAAGAGCTTTTATCTGAATTGATCAAACATTTGCCTCTGAACAGTTAAGCAATATACTAGCTCTTAATGGTTCAAACCTCTTACTGGTTCAGCACTTAATGGTTCAGACCTCTTACTGGTTCAGCACTTACCTATTCAGAAGTTACCAAACAGCCCCTTAATCTTTTTCTAGTTAAATTATTAGGTAAATTTTGATTATTAAATAGATAAATGTTTATTCAAATATTTATAAAATATATATTTTTAAAAATATTATATAAGATGAATTGAATTGAATTATTTTAATATAAATTTATAATGTAATTTCTATGTAATTAATGATTAAAGTTTGTGCACAAAAACATTGAATTCTGACTAACATAGTATGGAGTAACATTTTCGCTACTGGCACTTTCTTGATTTCTTCATCGTCTCTCTTACCAGCAAGGACCTCTTAGATGCTCGGAAGAAGTGTTAAGTTAGAAATTTCATTACCGATTTTTGACAACGGCAATTTGGAAGTTTTATTCAATGTGATATGCGTAAATAGCTTCTTGTATCCACCGTGCCAGGCACGGCCGCACAGAATTGAATAACCTCTCATCTCTAAAATTAGACTAATACTCCTTCCGTTCAATAATTTCTTTCTTATTTTCTTTTTTGAACTGTCCAAAAAAATTCTTAGTTTTTTGGACTATCCAAAAAAAACAAACCAGTCTACCGAAGTGCCGATTGCCCGAATCTATGGAAAAGAAACAGTCTGCTTGCCGTCCAAAAGGAAAACACGAAAGGCAGAAGCTACGGAAAAGCCAGCCTCTTAGCTTGAACTAGTCAATGCAAGTTGTGCAACCATTCATTTGCTCTCAAAGCCAGCCTCTTGAACTAGTCAATTGGGGTGGATTTCATTTTGGGAGTTCGATTTTCACCCAAAATCAAAATCAAAACGAAGTTAAATTCGCGGTTCGGTTCGGTTTTGTATAAAAAATACGAAGTATGTAAATAGTTGGGTACTCTTTTCGATTTTATACGATTTTTATTTTGGTTTATAAAAATGAAAATTTATAAGGATTGAGAAAATAGTGTTCCATTCCGTTTAATTTTTTTGTTTGATTTTTATACAAAACCAAATACCGAACGGAAGGTTAGTGTTCCATTCCGTTTAATTTTACAAAAAGAATGTGCCGAGTGCCCAACAAAAATCTAGAAAATTCCGAATACTCCCAAATGCATTGTATGTGATGGGTGTATTTCACCCATGACCGGTCAAAGGTCCGAACCAGAAAATTGACCGGTCAAAGAAGTCGAGCTCGAAAGGAAGTGATGAGTCGTCAGAGGGTTGACCCAAAACTTTGACCGGTGTACTTCGGATAGTATACCGGTCAAACTCGCCTATGGTCTAAATCCATCCTTCGAAGTTGGCCAAACCAACCTACAAAAACCAACCGGTGCAGTTTTTAGAGATTGGGAAGTGTCGGCAGGAGGAATCCAAAAGGACTTGGACTGTAGTGGTTGGAATTGCATAGATGCTGGAGGAATATTTCCAAACCAGAACGCGACAAAGGCGCAGCCCCCCACGCAAGAGGACAAGGCAGCCCAGAAGCAGTC